GGCTCAAATCTGTGATCATTTTGATACCAATATTAGCGGGGTTTCAACAAATTTCAACTGGGAATTCAAGATTTAGTGGCCAACTTCTCCGGGGTGTGACGATTCTCTGCGGCCGTAGAATCCAAGTCCATCAAGCTGAAATGTAATGATCTCTGTTTGTTCAGTTGTAGTTTTAAAAATTCTTTAATCAATAGGTAAATAAAAGGTAAAGAAATTGAAAAGAAGAGTCGTAAGTCTCAATATATGGTGGATTTTCGTCATTTCTATGGACGTCCTAACCAACAGGATGCATGTGGCAAACGATTCAGTACCACCATAAGGCCAAATCGATACAGTCCTACACACGTCAGTCCACGTAATAAAGGAGGTCATCCATCGAGGGACCGTTTTAGGCAGGACTGACGCGAACGAACTTTTATAACGATACCTGAACAAACAGAGATCATTACATTTCAGCTTAATCGACTTGGACTCTACGGCTTCAAAGAATCGTCACACCCCGGAGAAAGTGGCCACTAAATCTTAAACTTCCAGTTGAAATTTGTTGAAAGCCCTCCATTATTGGTACCAAAATGATCACGTATTCAAGCTCTCTTCGAAAATGTTCACGTTTTCGGCTTTAGGGTATGTGTTTGAATCTCCTGGTTGAACTGGAGGGATTGCAATGGTGTCATGTCCGCAGGTACTGCCATTGGCAAGTAGAGACGCAATCGTTGATTTCCTTCAAAATAAGGCCGAAGACTTGGAGGAAATTGAGAGTTTGCTATATCATTAGATTCGTCATGATCAGAGCTATCCGATGGTGTCATTTTTATATCATTTGGGCCATATTTTCACAAGTTATAGCGAAACGACTGTCTGCTACGGAAAGTTGTATCACTTTCCGGCGATTGAACAAAAATTAGGGGCGGTATTGTATGTTCGCCCACTATTGGAATAGTGCCCAACAGTTTGGAGTCTATCAAGCAAATACTCGGTTGAGCGTATTAAGAGGGTTCAGGCCAAATTTACTGAAAAAATTTTTGCACGTAAAGGAATGTTCCACTTATCCTATAAAGAGAGATTATCGCTGCTAAATTCTAATACACTGGAAATGAGAAGGAAAATGTTTGACTATGAGTTTGTGTATAAACTTTCGTGTAAATTGGTAGAAGTTCATTTTGATAGTGTTTTCAACAGATCTCATACTATCGGGCGTTCACGTGGTCACGACTTTATAGGATAAGTGGAAGATTCCTCTACGTGCAAAAATTTTTTCAGTAAATTTGGCCTGAACCCTCTCAATACGCTCAACCGAGTATTTGCTTGATGGACTCCAAACCATTGGGCAGTATTCCAGTAGTGGGCGAACATAAGTAGTGAATAATAGGTACAGAGTTTCAATCTTCCTAGTCGAAAATGCTCGCAGAATAAAATTAGCCTTGCAACTAGCTAATTGCACGATTT